ACCTGGTCACTGACCCCCCCCCCGCCTCAAAATTTTATCTGCGTATATTCAGTAGCTCATGTGATGTGCCAATAGTTATGCACTTTACCGACAGACTTCAATACTTTGGCCATCGCCGACTTAACCGTCCAGCCACGTTGTACTGTCCAGTGCCAGTGCAGAGAGATTAAGTTACGAGAAGAGTAACCCTTATCAGAGTAATTGGCGTAAGAGCTGTGACAATCAGGTTTGCGGAAAGTGCTGAATAAACACTAAACACGCACTACGTTTACAGTTCGTTCAGTGCTGCTGAAAGTCAATAGCTACCCGGTCCAAGTTCATAAAGCTAAGGGCCGAAATCGAAGCTTACAGAAAATCATCAGTTTGTCGCATTGTTAGAGTACTTAGCGAAATGGTCAACCTCCATATATCAACAACTTTGTGTAATCCGACTGTGACGGACAGCACCACGAGTTGCATTCTTTATATTGATAAGTGTGCGCCTGTGTGATCATCACGCTGAACCGTTTACATAAGCAGAATATCCATTTTGTGATGTCCATTGAGTTCGAATTTTTACAACACAATAACGCACCGGTAACTGCATCGCAGAAAGAAATACGAGGTACAAGGGTGAATAAAATAGTTAAGTATATGCACTCACTGTACCACAGTCCGTTCTTTGTAAATATTATCCTCTTAGTTTAAATTTTGTCTCTCGACAGGCAGTAAGGCCATATCTACAACGAGTTGGATTATAGAGAGGGACAAACATGGATATTACTCCCACTAGATGGACGAGTAACTGCAGGGAATAAAATGACAGAACGGCGGTATAATTAAATTAAAATGGTGGAACTAATAGAGGTGGCCAGAGTTACGGGAAATGGACAAAGACGGACAATACTGGAGGAAGAGATTCAAAACGTCTTAAAAAATTACAACAAATTTAACAATTAAACACGTAAAATTTTATACTAGTTGTGGAACCTCTAACTATGGAATAAGATCAGAAATTTCTATTCTTCGATACTGAATAAGTGAAGACAACATCAGGACAAAAATTTTAAAAAATAAACGTAAAACGTGTTGCCGAAATACCTTAAATGGTTCACCATAAATTGACGAACCACCCAAACCAGTGCCACTTGGGTCTCCCCCTTGCACAATGAAGCCGGGAACCACCCGATGAAATATCGTATTATCGTAGTAGCCCTCGAGACACAACTGGATGAAGTTTCGAGCAGCTTTCGGGCATTCTTTGGACCAGAGTTCTATTTCTATGTCACCGACGGTGGTTTTGAGTAGCACCTAAACGAATTGTATAAGCACTAACAAAATTAAGGCAAAAACAGCCATCAATGTTACCTTTCCGCTTGTTGGCGGTTCGGTTATATAGATACTGCTCATCGTCAAATATCACAGGACAATTTGAAGATCCCGAGTATCCATTATCACACAATGCACGTAACTACCAAATTAGCTTCGTGTATTTAGTTTGACCAGTTTGCCAAGTCACGTCTAAACTGAACTGCTAAATCACAAAGAAACGCCATTGCATTACTGAAATGAAATACTAACACACCAGATGAATGACTTGTTTTACGTAGTCCAAACGTCCAGTGCATGAAATGAATAAGAAATATTCAACTGACAAAACAGACATTAACGCACAAAAAACATGCATTAAAGCAACAGACAAATACCATGTGTAGGGTGAAAAGTGACCTTAAAAATGAAAAAATGTATTACCGCAGAAAACCGTAAATCTGAAGTGACATGCAACATCCTGAAAGACAGTACTATATCCTTGTCGTACTGTTCTGGAAGGAGTAAGTCAGTCGCCAGTAGCTTTAATCCTATCATAATCAATCATTACTAATGAACTCGTTTAGGTATGAAACATGAAAACCGAAACATGCCACTTCCCAAATAATTCTGCTGTTTGTACATAAACTTAGAAACTATTTTAGGAGTAGTTTCCAAATAAACGACATCCATAAAACAAATCTAACTTTGGTTTTTCCGTCTCAAAGATTCTGTTAATTTTTATTATTTTAATTTACGTTCACACGTTGTGCTGATTTATAGTCAGTTATCAGGTGGGTCAAGGTGAAGTGCAACCGTACAGTGCATGCATCAGACAGCATAGCCGTATGTCTCTCACGCTTATGCACCTTGCATTCCGTACTTTTCGCAGGCCAACGACCTACTATCCGTTTTTCGGCTGGTTGCACTGAAGCAGAGTGGGATCAGTTCTTTACTTAAGAAAATTAGCAATTAACAATTAACGTTGGGTCTGAACGCGATTCCCTAGCGTATATAGCACCCTACTAACCAACTGCTCCACTGTCTCGAAATCTCAAAAGCGGAATCGCAGATATGCGCCAAACACGACTTTCTTCAGAAACACCATAACTGCTGTGAAGATTATGTGAACAAAATAAACTCTCTCTGCATAAGAGAAATCTATCGATGAAACGGAAGTTTTTGGTAAGCAGGAAGGGACAGTCTGTTTCATCATCTGTATTAGAACACAACGAAGAATAAATGCGCAACTACGAGCAAGGCGACAGTACAGTAGCCTTTAAATCTGGTTTGCTATGTGGCACTCGGTTATCTGATGCACATCATATGACGCTTGTGCGATACCAAAAGATGACGCGGTGAAATCTCAGCTTCCATTTACCCTTGAGCGGAATATGACCAACTGTCGAACTGGTCATAAGTAATCTTGTCACACAAATTTATCCACTTAAGCGTACATAAATTATATTTTCTAACAGTTCATAAATCCTAGTTACGTAGGTCATTGTACTGCTTAAGCTGTTAGCCTAAGATGACGATGATCCTTATGAGATTGGTGATACCGAAGTTGCCATGACCCAACTTACGATAGAAGCAAAGTTCTGAACTATTTATCTTTATGTTCAACACTGTTTATGACTTTTCGTCCAAGAGTGCTGAAAGTTCCCTTGCATAGACGAAGGTTTCATTTTGGAGGGAAGGCGCAGTTCAAATTATTCGTCTGGATATCTTACTGGCCTGCAGTACGTAGAAAGTATTGTCCTGACTTCGTCAGCCGAAGGTTTCTGCATGCAAAACTGCTAGGAAAGACGGTGTCTTAAATAACGCTCATTATTTAAGGCACACCGGATCTGGAATCTGGAAGATCAGCAAGATGAGAGGGTAGATTGATCAATTTAAGCTTCCTGACTACATCATCTCTAGTGACAGCACCATACCCGTTATCTTTAATGTGAGGATCGCCCTTCCTTCGACGGCACTCATTAACCTATCCAACATTTTGGCTGAGAAAGAAGTACCTAAACCCTTCCCATAAAATTCCTCTCTACTTTCTCTCGCTCAAGCCACTACTGCCGTACAGCACTGAGACCATCGTTCCAACGAAGGAACAAGAACGACGGCTGAAGTGCGTCTACCAACGTGGGCTAATGTGTATGACGAGGGTTAAATGACAAAATTACGTATGAAACGACTTTTCTCACCAGGGCACAAGTAACCAAAATGGATATAGAAAATAAAAGAAGGGTGGAACTGTTAGACAA